TGGCAATAGGATTGACCCTCTGCCTTTTTTTTAAATATTATGTCCCACTGGGTCTAGGATATTCCTGTGTCCATCAAAGGTCCATCTTAAGTGATGCAGGTCTGAGGTCCCTGGCCTCTCTGGCTCCGTGGTAGAATTCTTGCCTTCCATGAAGGAAATCTGGTTTGATTCCTGGCTAAATCCAGCTTATGTGCAGCCACCACTCATTTGTCAGTGGAGGCTTTCATGCTGCTAAGATATAGAACAGGTTTCAGTGGAGCTTTCAGACTAAGATGGACTAGAAACAACCCCTTGGCAATCTGCTTCTGAAAAATCAGCCAGTGAAAGCCCTATGGATTACAACAGTGTGATCCACAACCAGTCATGGGGATGGCGCTAGACAAGGCAGCATTTTCTTCCGTGGTGCATGGGGTTGTTGTGGACTACTCAATAGTAGTTAACACCACCAAGCCTTTTTTACAGTGAGGTGTGTCATCTGACTAAGTGGGATTGATGAGATACACGTGGAGGTTGTTCAGTGTGGCTTTTTAGGGAAGTCCTTATAAAAAGGAGGCAGGAGAGCTGGCAGATGTGAGTATATGCGTGTGCATGTATAGATGTATCCACAGGCATGTTTGTGTGCTGAACATATGAGGGAGCGTCAAAAAATTGTGGAATTCCATTTTGACCTTCATTATTCTTGTAATTCCCTTTTATTACAAACTTTTTGAAACACACACACACATATATTCATGTCTTAGAGGGCACAATAACCAAACACTTCAGGGAGTGGTTTACTGGATTTGAAGGTTTAGACCCATTGTCTTGTGAGACAACTCAGTCAACTGTCACAGCAATGTTTATAAAGTTTATGTTCAGCATCCTAGTTGGTGAGTGTTGAATGGAATCTTAAATGCTTGTGAGTGGCTATTTAAGCTACAAATATTGGTCTCCGTTTATCTGGGTCAAAAGAGAAAAGTGAACAAGAGATTCAAACTAAGTTCATAGGACTAACAGTCCACACCAACCACATTCTCATGTATCCTGGGACCAGAAGAACTAGATTGGGCCCAGCTACCATGATCTGCTATGACAAATGCACAAGAGAAGGACCCTGATCGAATGGGAGAGAAACGCACAAAATTCCAATTCTTTAAAAAGCCCAGACTTACTGGACCAGTAGAGCTTAGAGGAACTCTGAGGCTGTCATCCTAGAACACCCTTTGCACTTGGAACTGAAACCACACTCAGAGGTCACCTTGCAGCCAAGTGACAGATTGGATCATAAAAGAAACAATATCACTAATAAGTACCTAGTTCTTTCAAAGAAAAACCTACATGAACCCAAGCAGCCAACGTTTATGATAAAGCAAATTAGAGAAGCTAGGTGGGGACAGGGAAGCTAGATTAAGAGAAATGAAACAACTAGAATAGAAATACAGAGAATGCTGACACAATATGAAAAATGTCACAAATGTCAATGAACAATATTATTAAAAAGATCGGCACAAACACACAGCCAAGGAGTCAATTCTTACTCATAGCAACCTTCTATAGGGTTTCCAAGACAGTCATAATTGAAGGAAATATTGACAATTCAGAGGTTAGTGAAAATAAAGATGTGATTTTTTTCCCCCCTGTCCATTCTATTCATGGTTCCAGTTAAGAATCCTGACTGAGGAACTATGTTATCAAGCTCCCCATATTCTATTAGTCAAAGGGTCCCCTCTGTCCCAAGTATGCCTTTATCTGGGAAAAAAGAAGTTGATGCGAATCAGTCTCAATCCCATCACCTTGGAGCACTCACTCTTAAGATTAGCCTTTGGTCTTCATATAATTGTATATTTGACATCATAGGGATTACGTAGAATGAAACAATGGATTCCTGGTTTTCTGAAAATGATATGTTCGGTGAAAGGGTACACAGCAAATTAGGTTCCCATTTGACAACTTCTACATAAATTGTTCGGTGACGTTAACTATATTTTCCACAGTATTTCAACCTCTTCAGTTGCATTCTGGTCGTTCTATTTTCAGGACTCTAGTTCCCCTGCCTCCTTCTGTGCTTATGTCTGTTTTCGAGTAAATGTTGACCCTTTGGTCGCATGTTTTTATGGGTTTTGAATGGCATCTGGCACTCAAGTGAGGAGTCTCGATGGCATAGCGGTTACACCGGGGGCTGCTAAATGCAAGGTCAGCAGTTCAAACCACGGGCCATTCCTTGGGAGAAAGACCAGGTTTCCCACTCCTGCCTCTTCTGACATCCACCTTGATCTTTTCTTTTTTCTTGTCTTTTTAATGACTTTTTGCTTTCCACGAATGCTGTTTTTGATGTCCTCCCACAGCTCGTCAGGCCCAGAGTTGCAGTCTTGGAAACCCACAGGGGCAGTTGTACCCTGGCCCATAGGGTTGCTATGAGGTGAGTCGGAACTGATTCGTTGGCAGTGAGTTGGCTGGTAGTCGTCATGCTCCAGCCGTGCTGGTCAAACATTTCATGAACTCATCCCTGATGTGAAAGGCGATGGCTGGAACTGCTTCTCTTTGGTGAGGCGTGCGATGTTAGCTGGTATTCATGCTTCTCAGAGCCTGATATGGCCCGTGGGCTGGATGTTTCCCACCCCTGTTTTAAAACATGAACCGAACCTAGCGCCTGAGGTCACCTTTTAGCTAAATATCAGATCGGCACACGAGTCAATTATGAGCCCCGTGACTTTGTCCCTAACAAAGCCCGAAGATCGTGTCACATCAAATTCCAGTGGTTGCAGGTATGTTGGGATCGCATACATGAGGCTCATGTTGTTGTTAGGTGAGGTTGGGTCGGTTCCTACTCAGAGCGACCCTATGTACAACAGAGCAACACACTGGCCCCGTCCTCACAGTCGTTCTGATGTTTGAGCCCATTGTTAAAGCCACTGTGTCGATCCATCCTGTAGCGAGCCTTCCTCTTTTTCACTGCCCCTCTCCTTTACTAAGCCTACTGCCCTTCTCCAGGGACCTTGACAACAGGTCCAAAGCAAGTGGGGCAAAGTCTCACTATCATCCCTTTCAAGGGGCATTCTGGCTGTGCTTCGTCCCAGATTTGTTTGTTCTTTTGGTAGTCCATGGGACTTTCAAGATTCTTCGCCAATGCCATTCATTCGCATTCATCAATTCTTCCTTATTCCACTGTCCAACTTTCACATGCACATGCGGTGACTGAAAAGACCATGGTAGAGGCAGACATACCTTAGTCTTCAGAGTTGACATCCTTGCTCTTCAACACTTTAAAGAAATTTTGTACAGCAGATTTGCCCAATGCAATATGTGGCTCTTTGATGTTTTTGACTGCTGCTTCCATGGGCATCCATTGTGGATCCCAGCCAAATAAAATTCTTGCTTCTAAGTTTTTTTAGAGCCAAGACCATGTCTTGATTTTTCATGTGAAATATGAAATGACATATCTATAAATATAAAATTTTCATGTGAAATATAAAACTGGGTTGGTTCTCCACCCCCAACCCCCATATTTTTTTATTATCTTTCAGTAAAATATTTTCCTTGGTCAGCCTATGTATTTCATTTTCTGCATTCACAAATATTATTCTCAGCAGGAATCGAGAGGTTCGATCCAATTCCCAAAGAAGTTCACATGACAAAAAAGAAATGGAAAAAAAAATCAAGAACTCCTCAGTGGGTGTGGGCCCAACAGAGGGGATCAATTAAAGTATTAGCTCCCCTTGCCTCACAGAAGCAGGCTTACTGGCTGGTTGCTTAGGGGCTTGGTGATGTGGCCTGGCTAAATAAAACACCATATCCACCTGCCTCTCCCCAAGGTCCACTGTGCATGGAGCATTTAGAATACTCCTGTTTTCCTGTATCCTTGGGAAAGCATTGTTTGATCTGCTTCAAAAGATATTCCAAGGCCCATGGGAAGCTGATGGTGGGGATAAAAATGGGAGGGGCTCGGGTAGTGGAAGCCTGTTGGGCTGTTGTTAGGTTGGCACAGGCCTCGCCCTTCCTTGGCAGCTAGGCAACATCGGACTCCACCAACCCCCTGGAGGGCAGCATTTCCAAGACAAGTCAGAAGGTTTTTTAAACGCAAAGATGTTTTCTATTTTTAAAAAGTGACATAAAGCTGAAGTCTAGAAACCAAGTATTGTGAGTATTATTCTAATCAGAAGAGTAAGAAGCGGGACAAACTCGCCTCTCGTTTCAAAGTGGAATCCATTTCCCTAATGCATTTCCTTGGGACGCTTGTAACACGGAGTTATGTGCTCAGCTACTATTGAAGCCAGTGGTTCAAACCCACCCGCCGCTCACTCAGTGAGAGAAAGGTGGCATTTGGCGTTCATAAAAATTCACAGGCTTGGAAACTCAATGAGGCCGCTCTACTCTGTCCTAGAGGACTGATAGACATTGGAATTGACTCAACAGCACACTGCAACAACAATACATTTCTCCCTTTGGTCCACATTTTTTTGACTCGAGGATGGTGCCTGGTTCTAAATTCCTGAGGCTGTGACCACCACTAGAGGTCCCTGCATGGTGCAATCAATCAAACGGCTGGGTCTCTGAAACCACCCAAAGGCAATGCAGAAGAAAGGCCTGGCGATCTGCATTCTGTTTGCCCAAGAGATTTTCTTTCCCACAAGTCCTGAGGCTCCCATATGAAAAAAACAACCTCTCTAACACAGAATGATGTCTACCTCAGCTACAGGTGCCTTTTCTCAAAGCTTGTCTCCCTTGGCAGAGAGCAGATCAGCCTGGAGGGGGTGGGGGTCCGAGACACAAGGAGACACTTTCTCTAGGAAGTTCTGATGCGCCTCCACCCAGGCCACCTGCACTCACATTCCAGAAATCCCAGCTGAGGCTGAGCTGGGGCTGCTCGGCGCGTGGAGTACAAATCGCTGAGTTGTTAGTTGGCTCCTACGGCACCCCATAAGGCAGCTCGTGACTGTCAGGGACCTTTCTTCCCAAGTCATCCAAGCACCCTACAGTCCCTTCCACAAAAACATCAAGAAATAGCCTCTCAGCCAGCATACCTCAGGTCTGCCGATGCTTCTGCGGACCCTTGCACCAACCCCTTCCGACTGCTCCCGGCTGAGCACGGAGAGAGTCACCTTCTTAGAGGACCCCATGTCGACGGCCTGGAATGAGCAGTGTTCTGATGCTGAGCTGGAGAGGACGGGCCGGAGGAAGGGCTGGGAGGGGCGACAAAGATGGAGACATCAGGAAGGAGGAACCATGCAAGAATTTAAAAATACAGGTCCTTAAGTTCAGACGTTGCCAAAAAACCATAACATCCGCAACCTCTTGAGGGCTTCCTGCATCTGCGGGGACTCCCAAAAATTCCTGGTGAAATGCCATTCTATTTTAATGTCATTTTTCCACGAACTTCTGAAAGCCCCCTCATACAGGATGGGGGCTCATCGAGTGGAAACAATAAGGACAGCCAACACATATGAGTACTTCCAAAGTCCCAGGCATCCTGATTTTTGGTGAGCCTTACCTCAAGTAGTCTCGCAGCCTTCTGGTCCAAGCTTCAGCAATGACAGCTCCCTGGGCACTGACTGACTGCGAACCTCCACAGGCCACACACTCTGCCTCACCTCATTTGAAATCTCTTGACAGCCACTCCCCATCCTTCTATTGGTTGGGACTGCCAGTGAGGCTGAGAGATAGGAGTTTGAAAACCAAACCTACGGCTGTCATAGCAACCCAATAGGGCAGAGTCATGCTGCCCCATGGTTCCCAAGACAGACAGCCAGGCCTCTCTTCCGCTGAGTTTGGTGGGCTCGGCCTATTGACTTTGCCTTTAGTGATCAAGTGCTCAACCACTGTGCCACCAAGCTCCTTGACGCTCACCGGGACATGCCAAAGAGATGAGCCTAGAAAAGAATCTTTGAGAGTCGTCGAATTCGAAGACTCATCCATCCCAGCAGTTCAAGGCCAATTCGTCTAGCAAGGACACCGAGCTTCCTCATGGAGGCTTCTAGAGTGTAGACAACTCAAGGGCAGCTACACTTGGCATGGCATCTATAGTGTAGTGCGGATCGGTACCCCACGCTGATCACTCAGTGGGCTTTCCACTTTGGGGGCCTGGAGCACGACAGAACAAGTATAAAGCCCCTTTTCACTTTGTGTTGGTGGCGAGTACACCCCATCCCCGGATGGTGCAAACAGTTAATGTGCTCAACTGCTAACCAAACCATCGGTGAAAATTGGTAGTTCTTGTCCACCCCGACGTACCTCAGAAGAAAGGCCTGGTAATCTTCTGAATTTGCAATCAACCACTGAAAATCCTATGGAGTGCAGTTATACCCTGACCAATTCCTTCAAATCTTCCCACTGAAACCAAGAGCGATCCTTTTTGCAAGAAGCATGGGACTCAGGAGGCAAGCCCAGATGTGCCTGCCAGCTGCACCCTATCCCAGCTGTGTGACCGGAGACCACTTGCTAAGCTTCTCTGTGGCTCTGTTTCCCCACCTGTAAAATGAGGGTGGCCAGACTGCCTACCTCAAAGGGGTCAGTGCGGAGCTGCTAGGATTCAGAATCATGGCCTATCCTAAAATGTCTCCTCCTGAGGGCAGGCAACTTGGTGGGGCAAAGGCTAACCGTTTAGCTGTTAAGCCCAAGGTTGGCACTTCAAACCCACCCCAATGACCCTGCATGAGAAGGATCTGGCGAACTGCTCCCATACAGATGCTAACCCAGGCTGCCCTGCCCTACCCTACCCTACAGGGTGGAACTCAAGGTACAGAAATGAGCTTCACACTGAGCAGGCAGAATTGTCCCCACTTCCATACAAGCCTCTAAGCCCACCAGGACTCTTCCGGGGTCCTCCCCACTCAGACAATCTGGTGAGGTCCTCCAGCTGCTTTCGGTGCCTGGCGGTTGAAATGGCCTTCCTCCCTCCCACCTTCCGGACTTTGCCTCCAGCGTCGCCTCGGTCCCCCTAGGACCATGCAGTGGCCAGGGGCAGGCGGGCGCCCCCCACCCCGCGCGTGCACGGCTGCAGGGCCCTGGTACTCACGCGGTCGGCGGGCTGCGGGTGGGGGTTGGAGCGGGAGCGGGGGCTGGGGAGGCCGGGGTGGAGCCCTGGCGCCGCCTCACGGTGACTCAGCGCTTCCAGGCGGCGGCGAGGGGAGGCTGGGGGTTCTGGTCCTTGGGCGGGGGCCACACTCCTTTGTTGACACCCAGTCCAGGTGCAGCCTCACCGTGACTCAGCTAATCCTAGCGGGCAGAGGAGAGGCAGAAAGCTCCCGGGCTCTGGTCCTTGGAGGGGGGGTGGGGGTGGGAAGGCACACTCCTTTGTTGACACTCAGTGCATGCGACTTTCTGCCTCTCTTAGCCTCCAGGCCTGGGAGAGGGGCGCGCCCCAGCCTTTCAGAGGGAGGCGGAGGGGACCAGGAAAGAACCCCTTGAGAAACTGGCGTCTATCTGTCTCCCAAAGATCCCTGGTGGCCCAATGATAAAGCATTAGCCTGCACGCGGAAAAGCTACCAAACGGCTCCGAGGGAGAAAGTCTGGGGATGGGACTCTATTTAATGAATGCCATAGGGGAGTTATCCTTTCCTATAGGGTCGTTATAAATTGGAATGGACTTGACCGGCACCTGCTGAGCTTGGCTATAGGGGTTGGAATTTTGCCTCCAACCACTTGAATAGCTGGGTGATCTTGGGCAGGTGGCTCAGCCTCTCTGTGCCTCCAGTTGTGCCTGGCAAAAACTGTCCTGAGAATGAAATACTCCTATGTTACCTGCTTTGTTGCAAGATGCCACTTAGGATGTGCAAGGAGTCTGGGGATGGGACAAGACATTTTGTCCCTGCCTAAAGAGAAGGCAAGGAGTCTCTGTGTGTTGCAAACAGTTAAATGCTTCACAATAGCCAAAATGTTGAGCCTGTACCCATGTACAGAGAGGAGCTGGAAACACAGGCAATCCAAGACAGATAAACCCCTCAGGACCAATACTGAGAGTAGCCATACCAGGAGGGGAAGGGGAAGGTGGGGTGAGAATTGGGGGAACCGATCACAATGATCGACCTATAACCCTTTTCCAGGGGATGGACAATAGAAAAGTGGATGAAGGGAGACATCGGTCAATGTAAGACATGAAGAAATAATAATAATTTATAAATTATCAAGGGGGATGAAGGGAGAGAGGGTGGGGAGGAAGGGGGAAAATGAGAAGCTGATACCAAGGGCTCAAGTAGAAAGAAAATGTTTTGAAAATGATGATGGCAACCAATGTACACATGTCCTTGACACAATGGATTGTGATCAAAGTTGCACGAGCCCCCAATAAAATGATTTAAAAAAAACGGTTGAGTCTACCCAGAAGTGCCTCAGAAGAAAGGCCTGGTGACCCATTTCTGGAAAATTAGCCATTGGCAACCATATGAAGCCCGGGTCTACTCGAACACCCATGGGGGTCTGAGGAGTCCGAATGGATTCCATGCCAAGTGGCTTCAAAGAGAAGGCACATTGGAGTGGGGAGGCAGTTGGGAAAGAGCCTGTGTGTTGTGCCTACTGCGTCCGAGTGTAGCAATAGACAACACAGAGATAAATGGGCAGGACTGTTCCAATAACACTTCTGTTATGGCTACGAACCTCTGGAGCCCCTGGAATTTTCACTTGTCAGTAGAAATTCTTTTATTTTTGTTTCCCCCTCCCCAACCCCTTCAAAATGGAAAAGCCTTTCTAAGGCCACAGTCTGTATAACTGTTTGGTGGTGGGCCACATTCGGCTGCAGGCTATTGTTTGCAGTCCCCTGCAGTCCCCTGCAGTCCCATAGTGTTACCATGGTCAAACACATGGCTGGAAACCCCGAAGGTCAGTGATTTGAACCGACCAGCCATTCTGAGGGAGAAACATGGGGCTGTCTGCTTCCACAAAGATGGGCAGCCTTAGAAAGCCGATGGGGCAATTCTACTCTGCCCTACAGGGTCGCTGTGAGTCCAAATCCACTTGACGGCACACAGATTCCCTCCCTGCATTCCTCATGATGGTGGGGCTCACACGCTACTTATTTGGGTGGCTCAAGACGAAATGAGCTCCTGGACATGAACTTGGCAAGTGCCGTGAAGTAATCCCATCAGGTTGCACAGGTTGGGGGAAGTGGCTAAAAACAAAATCTACTCCCTACGCAGACAGGGGGAGAAAGACAGAACTTTCTACTCCTGTAAAGAATTACAGTCTCAGAAACTCACAGGGGCAGTTCTATGCCATCCTATTGGGTTGCAATGAGTCAACGTCAACTGCATGAGTCCCCAGACAGGAAGGCGACACCGTGAAAACAGAAGAGAAAGGAAAACTTCCTGATTGGCTAAGTGAGCAGCCTGGTGGACTAGCCACTGAAGAGCTTACAGAGTTGACGCAGACTCCGAAAGGTTACCAGACCCTTCAGGGAGCGAAGTGGATTCCGTCTTATACACACAGGATTCAGAGCGAAAACTGGGAGGTAGAAGGGTCCATTTCAAAAGAGCGGCTTTCCAGGCTGCGGAGGAAACATTTTAGCGTTACAGATTTTTTGGAGAGATTTGGGGAGGGGAAATTCCGAGAACTAGCTGTCTAAAGTGGAATTCTGAAGGAGCCAGGAAAGGGGGTGTCTCTTCCTTGACTTTCAACTGGCCGAGTGAAAACGTCTTCTTTCCAGTTTGCATTGGTCTTCACCCCTTATCATTTTGATGGTGACTCCTGCAAGGGTCCCCACGTCAAATAGAAGGGCGAACTCTCTGTCAGACCTTTCAAAGGCCTCAGTCAGTGCTTCTGCATTCCTGAGCTAGTAACTGACAATTTCTGCCGACTGCCTGCAGGGAAAGCCAGGTTCTACTCTATCTTTCTGGCATCCCCGGAGCCTGAGGGCCTTAACATAGAACCCTGGGTGGCACAAGCAGTTTTTGCACCCCTACAAACTGAAAGTTTAGTGGTCTGAACACCCCTGAGATGCCAAGGAGGAAAGGCCTGGCAAGCTGCTTTGGTCAAGTTCGTGTTATTATTGTTAGTTGCCCTCACGTCGATTCTGACTCATGGCCACCCAGTGTGTGCAGAATGGAACCGCTCCACGGGGTTTGCAGGCGTGTGACCTTTAGAAAGGGCAGCATCAAGCCTGTCTTTTGAGATGGCTGAGTCGGGGGGTGGGGGTGGGGGTTCAAACGGCAAATCTTCAAGCTAGCAGTCCAGCAGTCAAACCGTCACACCACCCAGGAACTCCTGCCATCAAGATGCCCGCAAAACGAGGAGAAGTGAATTCATGGCAACCCCACGGGTTACAGAATGGAATTGATCCTTAAAGTCAGCAGTTCGAAACCACCAGCCCCTCCGAGGGAAGAAGGTGAGGCTTTGTGCTTAAATAAAGAGTTACAGTCTCAGGGACCCACAGGGACCCTTCGACTCTGTCCCATAGGGTTGCTGTGCCTCAGCACTGACATGAGGGCAAGGAGAATCTTTCGGAAGATGAGCTCCAGGTCTTTCCTTGGCAGTACCACCAGGTGGGTTTCAAACTGCCAACCTTTTGGTGAGTCCCAATCCCATGCTGTCGTCCATTCCTGCTCCTAACAACAATGACGTTCTGCTGTCACAGGGTCCACGTTAG